ATTGCATGCCATGGAATAGCCCACAATGGAATTCTTGAATCAATTCTATAATATTTCTTCCAAACCCGAACTAAAGAAGTTCTTAAGATATGAGACTTAAAAACCCTGTCAACCTTTTTATTATAAATTAAATAGGCATGCCATCCAAAAAGTAAATCCCACCCCTCCAAAAGGAGTATATCTACATTTGTTAAGTTAACCCAATCACTAATTAGTGTTAAAACCACAGCATCATAATACAATTTCAGATTCGGTACCTTGAGTCCACCTCTCTCACGAATGTCTTGTATAATTTTAAGTTTTACTCTTGGTTTTTTCCCTGCCCAGATAAATTTATTGATACCTTTCTGCCATTCATCTAAATTTGCTTCTTTCTTTAGAATAGGTATCATTTGAAATAAAAAAAGAAACTTTGGCAAAACATTCATTTTAATCGCTGCTATTCTCTGGGAGGTATAATTTAGAGCCCTTCCAAGCTACCCCCCCCCAAAGGGTTAGAATAGATTTATTGTCTGTGAACCAGGCGTCAGTCTCTAATTTCTCCTTTCACTCTTTCAGTAAGCAATTGTCAGGACCGGCAGATGGTCTCTGTGTCTGCGATCTGGTTGTTATTTGAGCAGTGGATTGTGGCAGAGGAATAATGGAGTTAATTATCTCCTCTCGGTGGCTTTTGAACTGAGGCATTCTAGATAAGGCATTAGCCAAAAAAATCTTACCCCCTGCAAAGTATTTTAAGGTGGAATTAAAACGGTTGAAGTACTGAGCCCAACAAACTTGCTTCAGGGACAATTTGCAGGGGGGTTTCAGAGCCTCCAAATTCTTGTGATCAGTCCACATCTCAAAAGGTATTTCCCCCCCTCCAAGAAATAACGCCACATTAGCAAGGCCCAACAAATTGCAAAATCCTCTTTCTCCCAAACAGCCCAGCTTCTATTGGTCTCAGTTAATTTTCAGGAAGTGTAAGTACAGGGTTGTAATTCCCCTCTGTGTTTTTTTTTATAAGAGAACAGCACCCATGGCCATGTCATTCACATTGGCTTGAATAATAAACTGCTGTTCGGGGTCAGGGTGCTTAAGGACTGGTTCAGCTGCAAAGAGTCTCTTTAGTTTCTCGAATACAGCCTGACATTCTAACGACCACTATTTTCCCATTTTAAGTAAATCACTGATTGGCATAGCTATCTTTGCAAAAGAAGGAATAAACTGATAGTAAAAGTTGGCAAAACCTAAAAAAAACCTTGGAAGTCTTCTAGTTCAACCCCCTGCTCAGGCAGGAAGCCCTATACCATTTCAGATAAATGGTTGTCCAGTCTCTTCTTAAAAACATCCAGTGTTGGAGCACCCACAACTTCTAGAGGCAAATTATTCCACCAATTAATTGTTCTAACAGTCATTAATTGTTCTAAGTGTCTAACATTTTAAGTTGGTGAGAGTTGGTGAGAGATTTGTACTTTCAGACTTGCAAGATTCTGTTAAGGTAGCCATACAATAAAGTGAAATTAATTCATATGGTCTTCCTTCCAATCTGGTCTATCTGGGAGAAAATTAACCTGGCAACTTAATTCTTGACAAATCCATGCTTTCTTGTAATCACCCTATTTTTTCCAAGGAGTTTGTGAATAATATCTTTATTTACTTCTTTGTTCAATATATAGAGCAGACCAGAGGAGAGCAGAGCAGAACAGAACAGAGCAGAACAGAATAGAATAGAATTCTTTATTGGCCAAGTGTGATTGGACACACAAGAAATTTGTCTCCAGTGTATAAGCTCTCAGTGTACATACCAGCAGCAGGTGATAAATCATGATCATAATTATAGAATATAATCAACATAAAATATATTGGCAATCTGTTTTAAAATGTTCACTTTTATCAACAAATTTGGTCAATTCTTATTGCAGCAATAGTTTTTTTAATATACGATTTGCAAATTTTGTGAGTCTTTTTCACTTTTGAACATATTGCTAACACTTGTTCTCCCAAATGATGATAGTTGTAGTTAGACAACTATAGAAAAACAATTCAAATGTGAAAAGACAATGTGGGAAAGAAACCAAGATTTCTGCTTTTAAAATTACTGGATGTTTCCATTCTAGTTTCATCGGTTTCTGAAGAAGGATGAGTTTTGCAATTTTTCCAGCCTGAAACTGTACTTAAACCAAAATGGAGATATAACAGCAGATCTAGAGATCAGGATTAAGTTAATTTTCCCCAACAAAGATCCCCTCCAAGAGGAACTGGGGAGTTTTGAAAGAGAGATAATCAAGATCAACCAGGATGCTCTTTCAAGACTAAAGTTATTCAACAAGGTTGGTGAAATAATGCTGAATTTTCTCTGTAGACTTAGGACCCCCCTTTAAATGTGCTAAGGCTAGTCAACAAGCTGGATGAACTTCATAGATAATTGAATGTGGGAAATAGAAAAAAAATTAGACTGCTTGGTAGGCCTCAGTACTATTCACAAAAGTGTCCTTCAGATACTATAATATGGAATACTATTCTAAAATGATTTAGCCATATCCAACATTAGATGCATAGTGATTATTTTTTGGATGCAGATTATGGCCCTTTTATGTCCCCTCTACTTTTGAGTGTCTCTAATAAACTGGGGAGAAATCCTCAAGTACAGGGTAATGTCAAGGTTCTGATAGACAAGACCAAATAAATCAGAACTCCGAAACTTGAGATTTCTTCAAATAACATGTTTATTGGTTACATAGTATTGGCACAGTCAAAAGTGAAACCAAGTCTGAAGTTCCCTTCAGAAAGCAATAATATTACAAAGTTGAACTTCCCACCCCAGTACTATGCAATTAGTTATGTTCCCCAATAGAAGAGTTTGGCAGGCTTTTAACTAAATGCTCCAGCCCTGATCTAACTGACAGAAATGACCTTGGTTCCCACGGGACAGTAGAATGTTTAGACTAGTAGAAATTCTGTATCCCCCTCCCAATCTGTGGCAACTTAGAATAAAGAAAATGGCTGCAGCCAGGTTCATTGTAGAGTTGACAGGTATTATATTGCTGAATGCTTCAGGTTCACTTGTTCCTTGTGCTCAAATAGCAAAGAAGAAAGGAATTCAATCAGAATAGAGCTGGAAGGACCCTTGGAGGTCTTCTAGTCCAACCCCCTGCTCAGTTCAGGAGATCCTAAACTATTTCAGACAAGTGGTTGTTCAGTCTCTTCTTAAAAATCTCCAGTGATGAAGCACCCTTAACAAGCTGTTCCACTGGTTAATTGTCCTCACTGTTAGGAAGTTTCCAGGTTGCTTCTCTCCTTCATTTGTTTCCATCCATTGTTTCTTGACTTGCCTTCTGGTGCTTTGGAAAATACGTTGACCCCTTCCTCTTTGTGGCAACCCCTCAAATATTGGAATACTGTTATCATGTCCCCCCCCCAATCCTTCTTTTCTCTAGACTAGCCATACCCAAATCCTGCAATCATTCTTCATATGTTTTGTCTTCAGGCCTTTAATAATCTTACTTGCTCTTCTTTGCACTTTTTCCCCAAAGTCTCAACATCTTGTTTGTAGTGTGATGACAATGTAGTATGGCATGTGCCCTCCCCCCCACTTTGAGCCATGTAACCTTAAGGCAGCATCTCAAGGAGATACAGCCCTTACTTTCATTTCCCCATCTTCATTCCCCCTCCCCACAGTTCATGACAGTCTGTCACCACATAGCAGTGAATCACAAGCAAGCATAAAGTCCTTATACATTTTCTTTGGCATTCTTTATTTGTCCACTTAGTCTCTGCCTCAGTCCAAATGTGTGGAAAATTGTCATCCTGGATTTGTCAAGCGGGCTCGAGAAGAACAGCCCGTTTGCTGCTATGACTGCGTTCCTTGCCCAGAGGGGACCATCTCCACTCAGGAAGGTGAGTCATACCAAAGAAAAGGTAGAAACTGATTTATGAAGCTTTTTCTTGAAACTGTAAGTTAAAAGACACTGACATTCAACTTTTTTTTTTTTTTTTTAAAATCAAGCCGTACTATTTCTTACCTAAAGGAAAGAGCAACAAAAATATCTTGAGGGAAGGGCTGCAAAGAGATAGAAGGGTGTGTCATATTGGGCAAGCTTACTACTGCCAGATAAGATGTCTCTTTTATTTTTTTGTTTGGTGTGTCCTTCCAGATTTATCTTAATATCTGAGTTTTTTGAAACCTGAGGGATTTTTTTTCTAGGATTCCCTCTTAGAAAGACCTCTTAAGGATAACTAAGAAGGTGCAGAATGAGGTGATGAGGACAGTTATGAGTTATGAGTCATTTCCCTCATTAACCTGTCTTCCATTAGCCATTCCACATTATTTGCAGAAGTAGTTTTCTTTACCACCCAACTAGATTTCACAAGATAAGAATCTTTTCAGTCCAGTATATTAAGAAATGCCATGTGGTAGGAATCTGGGAGTTTCTCTAGAACAGTGGTTCTCAACCTGTGGGTCGGGACCCCATTTGGGGTCGAATGACCATTTCACGGGGGTCGCCAAACAATGCAGTCCGCCATTTTTTCCCCCTTTTCCTTAGCTGTGCTACTCCCTTATATTCTATTGGCCAGGCTGTCTCTGCCCTGCTGAGCCCGCCAAAATTCCCATTCTGCAAACGGTGCTGCACCAGTTGAGTAGTCCTTGACTTACGACTGGTTGAATAGTCCTCGACTTACGACCGGTTGGGGGTCGCAGCATTAAAAAGGTTGAGAACCATTGCTCTAGAAAGATTAACTGATTCATTTTTTTTACCTCAAATAATGTAGATATCTACAAAGTTTCTGCCTATTAGAAAGAAAAACAGTTGTATCCTAAGACTTTCCCCAATTTCATAGACTATTAGAAATGCAATTAATAATAATAATAAGAAAATAATATTCTTGTTTCCTGCTTTATGCGGAGTTTTTTTTTTTTTACCAATGCATCTTGGAAAATGCTCAGCTGTTGTCCAAGAAGGTATAACTTAAAGTAAAAGTACAGAATATTAAAGAAATTTTGCTTTTTGGTTTTCTCAGATATGGAAAAATGTACCAAGTGTCCGGATGACAAATATCCAAATGAGGACCGAGTTCAATGTATCCCCAAAGTTATATCCTTCCTGTCTTATGAAGGAAATTTGGGTATCATCCTGGTCTGCTTTGCTCTTTTCATTTTCCTAATCACAGGCTTTATTTTAATCCTATTCATTAAAAACCTAGAAACTCCCATTGTCAAAGCCAACAACCGGGACCTCTCTTACATACTCTTGGTTTCCCTCCTGCTTTGCTTCTTGTCTACTTTTCTCTTCATTGGTCAACCAAGGAAAGCCACCTGCCTTCTCCGACAAACAGTTTTCAGCATCACCTTCTCAATTGCCATTTCTTCTATCTTGGCCAAAACAATCACGGTTGTGTTGGCTTTCATGGCCACAAAACCAGGCAACCGAGTCAGGAGATGGTTGGGGAAGGGCTTGGCCAACTCCATCATCCTTTCTTGTTCTGCTGTCCAAATTATAATCTGCTCCATCTGGCTTGGAGTTTCTCCCCCATTCCCTGACTCTGACTTTCATTCCCAACCTGGAGTGATCATCCTGCAATGCAATGAAGGATCTGTTGTCATGTTCTATATCACCCTCAGTTATCTGGGCTTCCTGGCTGCCATCTGCTTCACTGTGGCTTTCCTGGCCAGGAACCTGCCTGGGCCTTTCAATGAAGCCAAGCTAATCACCTTCAGCATGCTGGTCTTCTGCAGTGTCTGGGTGACTTTTGTGCCCTCCTACCTGAGCACCAAAGGGAAATACATGGTGGCTGTGCAGATCTTCTCCATATTGGCCTCCAATGCTGGTCTGCTGGGCTGCATCTTCATCCCCAAGTGCTACATTATCATTCTGAGGCCAGACCAGAATACAAAAGGCCAGCTTACAACCAGAAAAAATGTAAAAATGTGAGACTGAGGAATTTCTGCTCTTAATATGTTCCAACAGGCCAAACTTAGAAAATGGTCCAAGCTGTTCTTCATCCATGACTGGGTCAACGATGTTCCTTGAAATAATTAAAGGGTAGTTGGAATATAGTGTCTCCCATCCTGATCCAGTAGAATTGCAAGATGGTCACTGAGTTCTGTTAAATAGTCGAATTAGTATATCTGTCAGAGCTGTCCTCCTATGCTTCATTAGATGCCAGTCTGCCATAAGCCATGGGGAGAGGAAGCTGTGGGAAGGTAAGGTGGAAACCGAAAGCGATCTTCATGCTGTCCAGAGACATCCCAAGGCCACAGAGCTGGGAATGTAATGCAATGCCTATCCATCTACTCAACCAATGCAGGGACAGTTACCAAAACATCTTCGAATAAGACTGGATAATGGAGAGATAGCAGGAGGGTCAAACGGAAAAGGGAAAGTTAACTAGGAAATCTTTGTGTACAAACTCTTAGATCAGGTTTTCCTACTGTAACAACTTGGCTTTTAATAAAACTAACCTTTTGCTACAAATGGAATCAAGAGTATTTCTTTCCTAAGGGACCAAGCTGGGCCAGGTCTGACAATATCTCTTCTATGCCTTTAATCTACTTGAGGCCTGAAATGTCACACCCCAAATATCTGAAACAACACTCGTGCAGTGTGAATTTTGTTGATATGCCAGAAATAATATTTTTTTCTTCAAAGTTCTCTCAAAGTTCCAATATTTTAGTTTATATGCAACTGGAGTCCTTCGTGGTATTGGGGGTAAGGACTCAGATTTATCACTATAAGGAGAGTAGAGAGACACCTCCTTGTCAAATTAGGAGGAGTATAATCTGGATTATACAACTGGTCAACCAGGTCAAGCAGTTAAATAACCTGAGCTATGAATATTCTCTAGAATTTCCAGGGCTTTTTTTGTCATAGAACGCCCAGAACGGAGTTCCGGCACCTTTTTTGGATGGAACCTTGTAGGTAGGCTAGGCAGGTTGTATGACATGTGTGAGTTCCGGCATCTTTTTTTCTTTTCAAAAAAAGCACTGACAATTTCTAATGTGATGTCTCAAAGTGCTTTTTCAGGAGGCAAGTGGACTTTCTTGTTTTTCTTTGAAGACGTTTCACTTCTCATTGAGTTTCTTCAGCTCTGACTGGATGATGAGGAATGGAAGGATTTTGTAGACAGGAATCCAATCAGAATTGAAGAAGCTTCTTGGATGAGAATTGAAACGTCTTCAAAAAAAAAAAACAAGAAAGTCCAGTTGCCTCCTGAAAAAGCATATTTGGGACAACCATGACCTGGATGACTGAGAATCTCCATAGACTTCTAATGTGGTGATTTCAGGATGACTTCTTTTTGTGAATCTTCACTCCTTGCAAACTTCCACTATAAGAGGTAAGAACATGTCTTCTGGATTAAGGCAAGGGTCCATCTTCATATATCAGTGACTAACCAAATAACTCTGGATGTCCACCACCAAAAGAAGGAGATGTATGAAATTATTCCAACTTCTGAAAGATTATTTGTGCCGACAGCCATCTTCCTCACACCAAATTCACTGATGAATAGAAAACAGCTCTGGTTCAATTGGTACCAAATCAGTATATTAAAAGTATAGAAACTCCCTTCCCCCCTGACAGTACAGGTCACATTAACCAATTAAGCTTCAAACAATTATTACGAGAAAGAATCTTCAGTTCCCAAAACAAAACCACGGATGATTTTGGTTCTCAGGCTTGACAGCTTCCCACCTAAAAATGCACATTCCATTCTTCCCCCCCTCCTGCCTGGGTCTCTGGGCAAGCCAAGAAACTGAAATGGCTGAAACAGCATGAAGCTTCTTCGAACTTGACATTGTCCTCATGTCACAGCTCTAAAGAGAAGGGAGAAAGGCAGAAGAAACCTCCCACTGCCACTTTAGTCACACCTGAAATCTTCCTCACAGAGGCCTGTTCTAACCAAGACTTGAGTCTTGGTCAGGTGCTGCTTGAGAATATTAACCTATGCTGTTCCTGGCACAGATGTGTCCCAAACATTTCTCCACAGGCAAAATAGAGTGGGAAAAAGAGCTTATTGGTTTTACAGAACTGTGAGAAGACATGCTAGCCCGTGGTGGCGAACCTATGGCATGCGTGCCACAAGTGGTACGGAGAGCCCTCTCTGTGGGCACGTGCGCTGTCGCTGTCGCCCCAGTCCTAGGCCTTCAGGTGGGTTTTATAAAACCTTTTTGCTTTAGGCCTCCGCTGCCGTGTGCAAAATAAAAAGGTTCAATCAATCAATCAATTTCAACTTCTTGAAGGAAAAAAAAAGATCTCGCAAAGTTAGAATTGATTGAAATTTTTAGTCCCACCCAGTCTGCTGTTACCACCGCAGCCACGCCCACCCAATGGGCCACACCCACCCAATGGGCCACACCCACCCAGCACCCGATGGGTTGCAGTTTGGGCATTTGGTCTCTAAAAGGTTCGCCATCACTGTGCTAGCCTGTGAAGCAAATACATTGTATATATTTTAATCTCGAGAGCCTAGCTTGAAGCTTGAGGATTGTGGCTAGGAAGGTCTCTGCTATGCTGAAAACCGGTCCTAACCAGAATTTACTGATATGATAGCAACTTTAGAGACAACCCTAGGAAGTAACAACCATAAAAAGTAATGTGTAAATAAGGGCTGGGGGTGATAGAATTAGGGGAGTGGGAGATGTAATCAAGAGCAAAGATAATGTATTCACTTTAGGAGCTTTGGATAGGTTGTGACAACATGATTACAGCATAATTACTAAGCCAATAAAGAAGAGGTGGGAGGTAAATTTGTAATGGCAACGGAGAATATAAAAAATGAATATTGAATGCCTTGAATGCTGCATATTCCTCCAGATTTAGGAGAAGCAAAGAAGAGAAAGAGAGGTTGGTGGCTATAAGACTGCAGCGATGGCAGGTATGGGGTCCTAGCAAGGATCCGTAAAACTTACAGTAGTTCCTTTTTAGAAAAAGTCCAAGTGTCAGGTTCCAGCTGAGAAGCCCAATGAAGCAAAACACCAGAGGCATTATGTTCTCTAATGTTAACTTTATTAGGCATTAGCAAACCAGTATGATAGAAATCCTACAAGCTAGACTCCAGCAGTATGTGGATCGAGAACTACCAGAAGTACAGGCAGGATTTCGAAGAGGCAGAGGAACTAGAGATCAAATTGCCAACATACGCTGGATCATGGAGAAAGCTAGGGAGTTCCAGAAAAACATCTACTTCTGCTTCATTGACTATGCTAAAGCCTTTGATTGTGTGGATCACAACAAATTGTGGCAAGTTCTTAAAGAGATGGGAGTACCAGACCATCTCATTTGTCTCCTGAGAAACCTATATGCGGGTCAAGAAGCAACAGTGAGAACCGAACACGGAACCACTGATTGGTTCAAAATTGGAAAAGGAGTCCGGCAAGGCTGTATACTGTCGCCCTGCCTATTTAACTTATATGCAGAGCACATCATGAGAAAGGCAGGGCTAGATGAATCAAAAGTTGGAATTAAGATTGCCGGGAGAAATATCAACAACCTAAGATATGCAGATGATACCACTCTAATGGCAGAAAGTGAAGAGGAACTAAAGAGCCTCTTGATGCGGGTGAAGAAGGAGAATGCAAAAGTTGGCTTGAAACTCAACATTAAGAAAACCAAAATCATGGCATCCGGCCCTCTCAATTCCTGGCAAATAGATGGGGAAGAAATGGAGGTAGTGACAGATTTTATTTTTCTGGGCTCAAAGATCACCTCAGATGGGGACTGCAGCCAAGAAATTAAAAGACGCTTGCTCCTGGGGAGGAAAGCTATGGCAAATCTAGACAGCATACTAAAAAGCAGAGACATCACCCTGCCAACAAAAGTGCGTATAGTCCAGGCCATGGTTTTCCCAGTTGCAATGTATGGCTGTGAAAGTTGGACCATAAGAAAGGCTGAGCTCAAAAGAATTGAGGCCTTTGAACTATGGTGCTGGAGAAGACTCCTGCGAGTCCCTTGGACTGCAAGGCGTTCAAACCGGTCAGTCCTAGAAGAGATCAACCCCGACTGCTCTTTAGAAGGCCAGATCCTGAAGTTGAAACTCAAGTACTTTGGCCACCTAATGAGAAGGAAGGACTCACTGGAGAAGAGCCTAATGCTGGGAAAGATTGAGGGCAATAGAAGAAGGGGACGACAGAGAATGAGATGGCTGGATGGAGTCACTGAAGCAGTAGGTGTGAATTTAAATGGACTCCAGAAGATGGTAGAGGACAGGAAGACCTGGAGGAACATTGTCCATGGGGTCGCGACGGGTTGGACACGACTTCGCAATTAACAACAACAACAACAATGATAGAAATAAAGCTAGCTCTCAGAAATTGTCAGAAAGCAGTTAATTAAAAGAATAAAACTTTCCCTCCCCTCTCTGACAGTTCAGATCACATTGTCAATATATCTTCCAGTAATTATTATGAGAAGAAACTTTACTTCACCAAAACAAATCTTCAACAGATTCAGGTCTCATACTGATAAGGTACACCTGTGTACTCAACACTCTCCCCTCTTTACCTCTTGCACGTTGGCAAGCTACATTTCTCAAGGATAAGGGAAGTTCTTTTGATCTCTTCCTTGACATCATTACCTTTCCCTAAAGCTGATTCAGATTTTGTGCAATGTCTTCTCCAAGCACGGTGCCTGGTACTTGAGTTGAGGGGTCTCACCAAAACATAACATTCACTTCCTGAGATTCTTATGGATGCGTTTGTCTTTATTCCATGAGAGGATTACACTGCCAACTCTCATTTGGTTTGGAGCCAACTACTATTTTGAGATGACTCTCACAAATATTCTTATCAAGTTTAGTATACTAATTCTTCTTTCTGAGCTGCAATATTGACATTATCTTCAAATTAATTATATATTTCTTTCTAAATCATTTAAATACTACTACTACTATTACAACTACTAATATATTATAATCATTCCTGAGTATACATATA